TATAGGGATAATCTTGAGAAATACCCATATAGTTAGTGGGGCAGGGAAGAGAAGACAGAATAGGGTTGAAGGTCTAGGGTTGAGGGTCTACAGTTTTTTGTTTTTTTTTTTTATCAGGGAGAGGTTCAGATGAGTAGCTATCAGCTGGGTATCTTTAACCATCTGTGAGCTCTACAGTTGGATTCACCTTGGGATGCGATATTATCTCGCTATGATCTTCGTGTTGCCCCACCTAGTGACCTACACACGGTTTGGGGCTCAGAGGGGCTTCAAATTAGTAATGTGATTATGTAGAGCCTAAACCCTAAGCCCTCAACTGGCCTTCAACCCGGAACCAAAACCCTAAGCCCTCAACCCTAAAGCCTAAGCCTTAACCCCTAAACCCTATACCCTCAACCCTCAACCCTCAACCCTCAACCCAACACCTTCAACCCTATAGTCCCCGTTAAGTAGATATAATATGGCTTTGGGTATATTCTGATAAGATCCCCAAACACCCCATATTCTACCTACTTAAGAGGAACTCTAAACTCTAAACCCTGAAGCCTCTTCAACCCTAAACCCTATATAACCCGATCGCATAAGCTTCCATTCTCTTTGCCATTATCCCTATATAACCCTACAACCCATACAACCCCTTTGCCATTCCAACCCTAAACTATAACCCCTTTGCCATTCCAACCCTAAACCCTAAACCCTAAGCCTTAAACCCTAAACCCATAATCCTAAACCCTAATCCCTAAACCCTGCACCCTATATTCTCTCTACTTGAGGTGGACCATAAGCCTTAAACGCAGGCCGAGGAGCCCCAGGCCCGTGACGCGGAGCCAAAGGCCGCAGAGCCCGAGCCAATGGAGGTCGAGCCCACAGAGGCAAAAGGGTAAGGGTTTTAGGGTTCAGGAATTTAGGGTTTAGGGCTCAAGAATACACGGTTTAGGGTTTAGGGTTTAGGGTGTATCAGTGTGAGCTGGCTAGAAGCGCACCCACCGTTCGCGCTCGCGTAGCCAGAGTTCCCACCCCAACCACCCTAAACGATTGTCAATTCTCTAGCAAAGGGGGCCTTCCTGATTTCATTTCTCCCCAGTTCTGCTGTTCACCCCGCAGCAGCCATCATTCTCAGATGGTGCGCTCTGAAACTCGAGGAACAGATAGGGGTAGCGGAGGCCTTGGCCGGCCTCCACGCGTTGATCTTGCCAAATGCTTTAAAAAGTCCCACGAAGCATCATGATGATAAAGGGTTGATTCGTGATTTTCTTCCCACCAATTCTGCTGCTAACCCTGCAGTAGCTGGCATTCTCGGATGGTGCGCTCCAGGACTCGAGCAACGCACAGGGGCAGCGGAGGCCTTGGCCGGCCTCCACGCGTGGATCTTGCCAAAAGCTGAAGTGTTAAGAGGCATCATGATCACAAGTGATGTGTGTGGAGAGCCCTGGAAACCTGAGCTGTTGTTGGGGGTCCTGGTCTGGGAGGCCATTAGGATGTCTGATGGCCCCTGCTCAGCTGGCCTTGGGACATGTTTGTGGACAGCGCTTGAGGCCAGGTACCTAAAGGCCATGGGAGCCGCCCGGGAGGCCATGGGAGGCGCCTGGGGGGTTCCTGGGAGGTGCTTGAAGATCCGCAGTCCCCCGCGATAGAAAATCAAGAAAATTTCGGGATGCTTGTTCATTTCGTTCTGGTGCCAGTCCGGATTCTTGTCCCTGAGGCTTGAGCGCCCATGTATCTGTATAAGTTCAGCGGTGCTCCTGCCAGTTTAGGGTTTAATTGACAGCCCTGGATCAGCCCTGGAACGCTCGGACGGGGGTCCTCGGTGAATGTGGCTCGAGCGCGCATGTACATGGTCACCCGCGCTCTCGCCAGTTTAGGGTTTCGGGTTTAGGATTTAGCGTTTTGGGCTTAGGGGTTAAGATTTAGGGTTCAGGGTTTAGGGTTGTTCTGAGGTCTCTTGTCAAAGAAGGGGCAATAACGAATGCATTTGCTAAAAACGGGATCCTCACCAAACAGGGAACCTACATGGCCATTTTGGGGACAGGTATCTTGTGCTTGTCGGTTATAACACGGTCGTTTATAGGGCGCAGGGTTTCCCAAAGTTACAGATACCTTTGTGGGGTCCTATCTCAAGGATTCGGAATCTCACCCCAAACGAAACATGAAACATGAACTTAAAACTAGGATCGAATGTTGGTTTATAAGGACTTGGGTGTCCCAACATTCGGCGTCTCTTGTGTGGTCCGTATAATAAGAACTATATTTGGGCTGGTTTGTTTTTGGAAGCTACCATCAGAACAATAAGGTTGAGGGTTTAGGGTTGGTTTAGGGGTATAAGGGGGAAAGGAAAACCAAATGGAGACCCTAAATTCTAAACCTTTGTAAAGACAGGCCAATCCGTACTTGGAGGTTCAGGGGTAATTGAACACCAATTATGAAAGTTCTATACGGTTTATGTAGGGGCGTTTACAAGTTTCTTGGTAGTTACATTAGACTTTAAGGTACTTACAGCCCAAGTATAAGCTAATGAACCCTTGAAGTTCCCCCATAAGCTTATAACGGTTGAGGGCGTTGGGTTTTGGGGGACGGTTTCCCTTAACCCTAAACTCTCCGTATAGGTCAGTTCTGTGGAATTTCAGGAAGGCAGGTTGCCCCATGGAAGCTTTACGTAATCGTGGTATACTCCTAATTTCCCCAGGTAAGCCTTGTAGAAGCGCTTCTGTAAAGCGTAGACACATGAAAATTATCTTCAAGAGTCGTTCCTTGATTCGCGGAGTTCGGAGGCTTCCGCTAACCTTAAACCTTAAGCCCTCAGAGCCCTTAACCAAAAGCACCCCAAATTCCTTAACCCTAAACCGTAAATTCGTAAATCCTAAATCCTAAACCCTAAATTCCTAAATCCTAAACCCTAAAGTCCTAAACCCTAAATTCCTAAACCCTAAATCCCTAAATCCTAAACCCTTTATGTGTCCTCCCTTTCATGCCAAGAGCCAAAGGCTACAGAGCCTGAGGCTGTGGATGCTGCAGAGCCGCAGGCCGAGAAAGAGGCCATCTCTCTCTTAGGGGCTTGGAGGGTTCCGGGTTTGAGGTTCAGGATTTTTTGGTTTTAGGGCTTAAGGTTCAGCAATTTAGGGTTAAGGGTTGAGGGTTGGGGAATTCAGGATTTGGGGTTTAGGGGTCAGGAATTTAGGGTTTGGGCTTTGGGTTCAGGAATTTACGGGGTTTTGGGTTCAGGAACTTAGGGTTAAGGGTTTAGGGTTCAGGAAGAACGTTTAGGGTTTAGGGTTCAGGAATTTAGGGTTTAGGGCTTAGGGTTCAGGCATTCAGGTTGTAGGGTAAGGTTTAGGAATCAGGGGTCCCTAATCCGTTGAAATTCATAAGTTGGATTCTTTTGGGGTTTGTAGAGGTTTCCTCCCTAAACCCTGAAACCTCTTCTTAGATGGAGATGTATGTCACGGAGCGACCATGGGCCCCGCCCGCACGCTCGGCCTCTACAAATTAAGCCCTTTGTTTGGCTTATTGCGGACTATTTGGGCTCATTGAAGCTTATGAGGCCGTGTTAGGCCTTATTAATGTTTTTATCTAGATTTTGGTGAGTTTATCTGGAGTTCCTCAGGATTAATTATTGGTGAGTGTACATATCTGATGCCCGATTTGACAAGTTAAAGTACTACCACATGTAGGTGTCATGTAGGGATGCACGGAGTCCAGGAAATTTTCCGAAATCCCCGATAAACCCTACAACCTCATTCCTAAAGTCTCGTCCCTAGGGCAATTTCAGGGCCGCTATTTGAGACCGAGGTAGGGAAATGCGCAAGTCACACCCAGGTAATATCCTAGGGTTTAAGGTTGGGGGCTTGGGGGATATTTACCAGTACTTGGCGGTTTTGCTTGACGTAGAAAAGTCCACTTGGACATAGGGGTCGTGCTTATAACTGGGGTCATTGGGGATAGCAAGCAGGCTCACTAGATCAAAAGAGCCTCCAAGTAAACCAAAGTCCTGAAGCTGCAACCCCAAACCCTAATACATCCCTATACTCCTCAGATTATCTGCTACCAGAATGGACAACACCTGTGTTTAGTAAGATTGCTATCAAGTCCATTCTCAGGTCCACGCTCAGAAGCCTAAAGGGCTCCCCTGTTTATGATTCTCTTTTGGGCCTTAGAGCGTATAGAGTTATGCTGTGCTCTGAAAACAGATGATGTGGTTGCCTGAATCGTGTAATGAAAACAGGTGTTTGCGGTACATTCTACTTTAAGTATATAAGGGTTCTGAGGTAGTTACATCGGTGATTCTTCACTCCCTATATGTAATTACTTCTCTACAGTTTCCAAGTCATTTTCCAGTTTCTCCTCTCTATTTTACCCGTACTCCCTAAACCCTAAGACCTAGGCACGAAAACCCAACCCCTCACCTTACTAGGCAATACTTACTAACCTCACGTGGGGGTTTCCCGAAATTAGGGGTACCTTTTTGGGGGTCCCTATAATGAGGGTTACAATATTTGGGGGTTTCCCCATATTAACCTTTATGAAGCACGCATATCATCCGTAAAAGATCGCTACATCTCATTTTGCAACCCTCAACCCTAAACCCACTAAAGTTAACCAGCCAGGAGTCATTGAAGTTCGAGTCCGACCCCGAGCAGGCTGGACCTTACCGAGATTACAGGTCTAGTTTAGGGTTTATGGTTTAGGGTTCAGGGTTTAGGGTTCAGGGTTTAGGGTTTAGGGTTCACGTTTGATATAGAGTTTAGGGTTCAAGGTTTAGGGTTTAGGCCTTAGGGTTCACAACTCAGTCAGAGGCTCATCTGCATGGAATTGTGAGGGAAGTTATCGTGATGTCTGTCCCATACAATTACTGCACGAGTCGCACACGCCCAAATAGATAATGCCCCTTATTAAAGACTTGTCTATTCGGGGCCATGCCTGATACTAAGGAGTGGGTGGGCTGTATCAGTGGGCTAAAAGCCCCTAACTCTCCCAAACCTAGAGCCCCAAAACGTATACCCAAAGCTCTGAACCCTGAACCCAAGCCCTAGACCTCTGAACTCTGAACCCTAAACCTGAAGCCCAACCTTCTTAGGGCTTTGCAAAGTCATCTCGTTGTAGCATACCCAGCTGGCAGTCCATGAAGGGTGTCCCTTAAGTAGTAGCAGTTTTCGTCTAAGGGTCTCATGAGAAGTATTAAATATTTAGGGGTACTATGGTACCCAACATGGAGTAGGATTATGTCCTGCTTTTTGGGTATAGTAGTTTGTGGACAGAAAATAGGCTTACTTGGTTCAACTACCAAACAAACGCTGCCTGCTCACATGAGTTGCAGTCAAGATGGCGAAGAGTGGGACATTCGGGGGCGCGGGGATCCACCCGTATGAAGTCTTGGAGGCCCCACATACAAGTTCCACCAGTCCTGAAAGAGTCTTATCAGAACCCCGCAGGATGTTCCTGAGAAAACCATAAGCCTTCCAAGATCTTGTGGACCCCTATAGGGTTTAGGGTGTAGGGTTTAGGGTGCCCTATAGCCCAGCACATTCCTTCACGCTCCCTGCATGGGCGCTCCAGGACAGCGGACAAGAGTCCCCGGTCAAAGAGGAATGTGACTTGGGCTTAGGTCTTAGGGTTCACCAGGGACGCGGTTTAGGGTTTAATGTTTAGGGGTGCTACATAGGTATTCACAACCTATCTGGCCAAGTTTGGGTTGAGAGGTGTTGTTATTGTAAGCCGGCCGCATATGTTTGAGTTTCCTGCTTTGTCTTGCTAATTCCGTTCGCCTGCTCCTCCCTTAATCTGAAACCCGTTAAGGATCAACGGCATGTAGCTTCCCAACTGTCCCATAGTTTTGTTTTTTCTCATTTTCTTGTTGGGGGGAGGGGCAGGGTTACATGTTTTTGTTCCTTTGCGGTGTCTGGGGCCTGAATGGTGATTGCTTTTCTGGGAATGGGTTGCTGGATGGTCGGATTTGTGCAGACAAGTTTTGAGTGATGCCCACATCCCCATCCCCGCCCCCTCTGCAATGCGAATCTGTAAGTGCCTTGTGACAAAATTATAGACCTTCGAAGATCTTATTCGTGGATGTCTGCAAAACTCTACACATTCCGTCAAGCTCCGAAGTACCCTTGAAAGCTCATGTACGGGCTCCAGGATGGTGGAGAGCAGTCCCCTCCTCCCAAGGAGCAATGGGACTTGGGTTTATGTCTTAGGGTTCAGGAGGGGCCCACCATACCGTGTATACCTATGTAGCACAACGAGAAATTCACAACCTATGTAGCCAAGTTTGAGTTGAGAGGTGTTGTTATTGTAAGCCGGCTGCATATACATATATATATATACATACATACATATATATATATATGAGTTTCTTGCTGTGTCTTGCTAATTCCGTTTGCCTTCTCCCCCCCTTTAAGCTAAAACCCGTGAAGGATCAACAGCATGGAGCTTCCCAACTGTGCCATAGTTGTATTTCTCATTTTTTGTTGGGGGGAGGGGCAGGGTTGCATGTTTTTGTTCCTTTACGGTGTCTGGGGCCTTAATGCTGATTTCTTTTCCGGGAATGGATTGCTGGATGATCGGATTTGTGCAGATAAGTTTTGAGCGATGCCCGCATACCAATCCCCGCCCCCTCGGAGACAATTATAGACCTTCGAAGATCTCATTCATGGATGTCTGCAAGACTCTACACATTCCTTCACGCTCCAAACTTCAAAGTGCCCTTGAAAGCCCATGTACGGGCAGCTCCAGGACGGTGGAGAGCAGTCCCCTGCTGCCAAGGAGCAGTGGGACTTGGGTTTATGTCTAAGGGTTCAGGAGGGGCCCACCATACCGTGTATACCTATGTAGCACAACGAGAAATTCACAACCTATGTAGCCAAGTTGGAGTTGAGAGGTGTTGTTATTGTAAGCCGGCCACACATGTCTGCGTTTCTTGCGAATTGCGTTGAATTCCTAGACCCTAATCCTTGAACCCCTAAGCACTCAGCCCTGAACCTTCAAAACCTCCCAAACCTGAAACCTTGATTGCTTGTCCGGTGAGGTTTGCTGAATGTTCCGTATTTTTGCTAAACCTTAAACCCTAAACGCGCGACACGGCTTGAAGCTCTTCCCTGCCACACTGAAACGAAGCTGAAAGCTTATGCAGGGGTCAGTCCTGAGAGCCGGGAATGGAGTAATGGGTTGCAGGGCCTAGAATTTAGGCTTTAGGGTGTAGGGTTTACAGTTTAGGAGTCAGGGAGTAATGGGTTATAGCGTTGAGGGTTTAGGGAGTAATGGATTACAGGGGCTAGGGTTTAGGGAGTAATAATGGATTATAGGAACTAGGGTTTAGGGAACCTCCAGAGCCTGAAATCCTCTACCCCCCCAAACCCTATGTAAGGGTTCAGGGTGTAGAGTTCAGGGTTACTATAGCGCCTAAACCCTCAAGATGCAGGCCCTTTAGCCCTTCCAATCCCTTTAACCCTTGAAGCCTTCAATCCTGAACCCCTTCAACCCTGAAGCACTTAACCGCCAAACCCTCAACTCCATTCAAGGGAGCAGCCTAAAGCCTAAACCCCTAAACCCTAATTCTTGCAAACACACTGAACACTAAACCTTGCGCATCTCCAGGAAGCCGGCCAGGCGTGTGACCTTTCCGCCGCTTGCTTAGCTCAACTTAGGGCTTAGGGTCTAGGGTTTGCGGTTTAGGGTTTAGGGTTTAGGGTCTAGGACTTAGGGTTTAGGGTAGGGCTTAGGCTTTGGGGTTTAGGGTTTGTATTTTAGGGTTTAGGGTCTTGGACTTCGGGTTTAGGCTCTAGGGTTTAGGGCTTAGGGTTATTCCTGCCTAGAAAGCCAGTAGCCCGATGTGTGAATTATAAGCTACTTCCCCCATGTCCTACTACCTTGCGTTAAAGTAGCCCCAGCTTCTCCAGGTAGGGATTTCATGCTTTAGCCCTAAACCCTGAACCCTAAACCCTATATACATGTAACATTGTACAGGGGTTGGACAGGGATGTCGCAGGGATTAAGCAGGGGCCATATGGGCACATATAGGGTGTAGCAGATTTTGGGAACCCCGACCCCTGTACCCTAAACCCGACCTTTTAATGCTTGCCGTGGGGGTTTGTTGTAGTCAAGGGGCTTTAGCCTTAGGGTGTTTAGGGGTTAGGTTTCTTTTGTCCAGCCCCTGACATTAGGACCGCAATGCAGTCACAGGACAGCTATCGGGCCCTTATCATAACCAATATCGCCTTATTGATGACTTTTGTGGAAGTACTCTCTACTGCCCCCCCCGCCCCATTTGACGCCTACATGGAGTTTCTCAAAGAAAGTGAGACGGACTCCCTGTTCCCAGATCCCTATAAACCCTAAACCCAAAGTGTCAAGGCCTCTCTTCCCGTAAGTGTTCTACCATCAAACCCTAAACCCTAAACCTGGAATCCTAAACCCCAAATCCTACACTCTACACCCTCAACCCCCAACCCTACACCCTAAATCCTAAACCCTAAACCCTTGTTGCACCTTGAGCTCAGGAGCAGGTCGCAGATGCTGGGGCCGAAGGACTGCGCCTCCCAGGTGGAGGTTTGTCAACAGGTTATATGAGCTATAGTCTAAACTCCTTACAGCGGGTTAGATAGGGGATTATATAGGGGACTACTATGGGGGTTATTAAGGGGGGTACTAGAAGTTTAGCCAATGGGTCATATGGGTTTAGAGTTTAGGGTTATATAGGCGAATTGAAGAGGAAATGGAAAGTATCATGCAGGGTTTCGAGTTTAGGATTTGGGGTTGTAGGGGTTTTGGGGTTCTCATGGTTTTTGGGTTTAGGGGCTTTAGAGCTGGTCTAGAGCTTCAGAGCTCTAGGGGCTTTATGGTTTTAAAGCTTCAGGGTTTTGGAGCTTTCAGGGCATGAGGGTTTAGAGCTTTAGGGCTTTCAGGGCTTCAGGGTGTTCAAGGGGTTTCACATTTGAGGTTCTAAGGCTTTTGATAGGGTTTTTGCGTTACGGAGCCAAAATCACTCTTTGGGATGGACTTGGCTAGGATAGGGTCCCCTGTCAGGGACTGAGCCCTAAGCTCTAAACCCTAATCCGTAAACCCTGATCCATAAACCCTGATCCCTAAACCCTAATCCCTAATCCCTAAACCCTAAACTCAGGTATTGAACCTCGGTGTGGTGAAGCCTAGCCCCAGCACCTTGCTCTACCTTCCTCCCCTCTCTCAGAGTTTAGGGTTTAGGGTTTAGGGATTAGGGATTAGGGGTTAGGGATTAGGGTTTAGGGTTGAGGGATTAGGGTTTAGGGATTAGGGCTTAGGCATGAGGGTTTAGGGATTAGGGTTTAGGGTTTAGGGCAACTTAAAGCGGCCTCACCCGACCTCACCCTGAATGGTGGTCTATATTGGGAAAGTGGAAAAGAAAATCAAAACTATCATGGGGTCATATAGGGTTTAGGATTTGAGGTTTTTATAGGGAATAGTACCAAACATGGCCTTAAATGGGTAATCAAAATTAGCTCGAAATTACTATATAACTCCAATGTATACCCGATACAACCCATTATAGTAGTTTCCATGTTCTCTTCCATTTTCCTTATATACCCCCTGTAGGACCCCTATATAACCCATTGTAGTAGTTTCCATTATCTTCTCCATTAAGCCATTAAGCCAAAAACTTCAGCAG